AAAAAAAAAAAAACGGAACTACAACGACGTAACCCCTAAATTGTATAATTCCCCTTTAAATTTCACTTTGCGTTTACCTCATCTTTTTAATTTACACCACAGAAATGCACAGTTATGTTTGCCTTTATCAAAGGAAAATTTCGTTTTTGTCAACAGTGATTAACAGTCTGAATATTTCAATGCTATTATAAAAGCTACAACAAGGCTGTTAACAATAACAAAATTTTTCTGCTATTTTTTATGTTTTTAAAACAGCTTTGAAGTTGCTTTTGAATGGTTCAAGACACTTTCAATTTTGAATAAGCATCAACCACTTAATTCACGCTAGTTTTTACTTTATTTTTACAAAACTATTGGTATTTAAGGACTTAGCTCCAATTTTGTACTTTATTAGTTGCTTTTTCTAATATTTAAACGCTGACTAACTGGAAGAAATTGATATGAAGACCAAAACTGCTATAAGTTAAAAAGATTTTCATTTCCATTTCCCCTTCCGCTGAAGTCGTTTTCCAAATACCGTCTTTCAAAATTTCTCAGAAACCCGCTTAAGAAGCATACAATGCATGTTAGTGAGTAGGCTTAACAGAAAAAAGTAAGAAAATTCAGTACAGTTCCCCTTCTATTAGCATCGAATGTACCTAATTTGTTCCATACTACTTACAAGACTGTTTTCAAAAGCCATACAGTGTTGTTTTTTGTCTGCGTAAAATATTAAAGTTACCAGTAAACACTGTAGAATGGCAGAAGAAAAATTTTACTGTCTACCAAACTTAGGAAAAATTTTACCAGTATTATAAAACTTGTTTCGTACAGTCAGAATCAAATTTTAAGTGCTAACTACGAAAAAAAAAGAACTAAATTTAATAATCCATTTTAGGACAAATATTAAACATCATAGCTTCAAGTGTAGTTATCCTTAGTTATGCCACACTTTGCCTTTACAAAAATGAATACTTTTTGTATGCTAAACCAAACCCAGAAAGGCTCTCATTTTTTCGCCAGCATAATAAACAATTGAACAATGTCATCCAATTCATCTGATAAACTATAACAAGTTTCTTTCCAAAAAAAGATAAACATTCCTTGTTTCAGCAGATCAGAAATAATAGCCAAAATTTTCACAGACTTCTTCCCCTACCATCAGATAATCATATGATCATAATGACCAAATCAAACGCACATTTCTCCTCAGTACTTCTTTGCAAAGAATAAAGGTGCGTAAATAAAAAAAAGTCATAACTTATGACAAAATTACTTTAATAATAATTTCAAATTCCAGCGTATTTTCAAAAAAAAAAAACATTTTTTTGGCTCCTTGGTTTTTTTATCCGCCCATTTCCACTTGTAGCAACCAAAAATTTAGTAAAAATAATTGCTTTTTAAATTTCTACTCCGTTGCCTATTATTCTTGCTAATGATATCTCCATAAAAGCTACTACTGCACATGTTCTGTAGTATAACAGAAAACACTCAGCTAAATTTCCGACCTATCTTCTTGGTAACGGTTCTCTTTTCTAGACCGCAAAAGTTCCAGATTAGCGCTTCTAGTTCTTCCTTATTCGCTGTTGAAGTTATAACAAGTAAGAATAATCAGTCTTTGGCGTTTTTCAACTAATGTATCTATAAAACGTAGTGTACAAATCTCTTCATTTCTTATCCCCTTTATATACTCAAAACAATAAAGTCTGCCACTCTACTTTGCATGAGTGGAAGATTGTAATAACCCACTACAAGATTTGCAGTGTGCGTAACCACTTTTAATTGATCTTTCATCAAATTACTGCTGATATGCCTCTCCCGGTGACAGCTGAAACATTTCCACAAGTATTGTAAAACAATAAAAAAAGTGATAGGTAGCATTAACAAAAACAGTTCCGAGCTTATTTAAATGCACCATATATTTAACCATTAAAAAAGACAATGAATAACTACTATGGATAAGTTGAGGTAACGATGGCATCAAACACCGGCAGCAAAATAAAGTTCAAAAGTTCGCTAAATTAACTAGACTTCACAAATTAAATTAGCAACTTGTAATTCTTTTTTATGAGAAGAGATGAATAGCTACTAGAAAATGAACTGTTTAAAATATGGCAGCCACTTACAAATAACAGCTGTAAATCAGTAGAATAATTTTTCAGTTGACCAACCGCTTATTTCACCAATTTTATGGCTTTCCTCCAAAACCTTCGGTTACACCATACCGTCAACGCAGAAGTTACAGAAACCATGAGTTCTCAATTTGATTCACAAAGAAAGAAAAAAGTTTTTTTTTTTTTTTAAATCCTCATATCTACACAGCAGAACCTTCAATTTAAAAATAGAAGGGAATAACCTGTTGTGTAACTCAAAACAAAAAAAAAAATCTTTTGATCAAT